GGAAATGCTTCAGGTGTTAGACCTCGACGAGAGCCAACTACTTTATACTTCTCTTCAAAATGTTTATGACATACTACAAAGGTGGAATAAATTTGTAGTTTTGTTTTATTATTAAATCTTGGACAACGAACAGCAAGTGCCCAAATTTCAAATAAATCGGGTTCATTCCTATGGTGGGGCAGGCGATGCATCTTGTTGTTCACATCAAGGCAATTCGGTACACAACATTTTCTATAATTACGCATCTTTATGGAAAAGCACGAAATAACAGCGGAAAAAGCACAAGATAACAGTTCAAAACGCACAAATTTATAATGGTAAAACAAGCTCACTAACAGTGGTCAACTAAATCAATTAAGCAAATTGGAAATGAAAACACAACTGAACACAACCAAGTCACCAATATAAATAAACACGTTTGGTTTAAGCCAAGACGCCATGACACCCCCCCAAAATCAATATTCACCTGTCATTTACACTCCCACCACCTACCCCACCACCCGACTGCAGCGCCACGCGGACGTGGTTGATTGATCCTTGACCTGCGCATACCAGTTTCCCACCCCTGGTGATATGACGGATTCTTAATATTTTATGCCCATATTCATAGATTACTAATGTGAATAGATGGGAAACTCAATGGTAAAATTCTGAGTTGATGTGCTGCCATCTATCAAATTGGAGTGGTACTAAAATTCAATATGGCCGCCACTAGCGGGCTTTTTAAAATTTAACTTTGTAGTAGCGCAAACATGTAATGAAGAAAATCAAATAAAGCAAAAAAATTGGAAAAATATTTGACTAGTTTTAAATGGTAAAACAACCATATTGACTGTTTTGTGATTTGAAACTAGTCAAATATTTTGCCAATTTTTATCTTTATTTGATTTTACTTCATTATATTTTTGCATTAATTTCAAACTTGAAATAAAATGCAATTTATTTTATTTTTTTTTATTACAGTAAATTAACGCCGCATCATATAATTTGTCTATTTAAACATGGAAATACTCAAACAAATATGCATTTACACCATTTAAATAATTAAATATTTATAAAACAAACCTATCAAAAATGTTTTCTGTAACAAAATCAGCATATATAAGTGCTCAAGACCTTTATAAAAGTTTTGCGACTTGGAGTGGCAAATAAGTTTGAAAAAATTAAAGTTGAAACATCATCCTTTTTTACTATCGAGGCAAATTTGAGTGTGGATAAAATTTGCCGTACGGTTATTGAGTTGACTAGTTAGGTTGAGAAGCATTTCTTCATCCGATAATTGTTTTCTTGATTCATTTATACAGCACTTGTAGTTATCAAATTTTTCCAAGAATTGGGGAGACTACCTACTATTCATTTTACTTACAATTGTTATTTACTATTATTATTATTATATTATTATTATTATTATTATTATTATAGCTCATGTATGTATGTATTACTGTATAATAAATAATTAAAATATATGTTTCAAATATTTTATTTTAATGTAAATATTTTTTGTTTATATTTTTTGGGGTTTTATTACGAAATAAAACTAATATTTATGTTAAATGCATTATTTTGATGTAAATATTAGTTTTTTTTAGAGTAATGAATGCCAAAAAAATGTAAATAAATAATAAATTATATTTGAATGAACCGCGGTTCGCTTAAAGCTCTTCTTTTTTTATTCTTCTCTTTCTTATTCGACCTCTAACTGGCAAGCCAATCAGCCAGTGTAGTTCCAAACAAATCCGTTCCATACTAATTCGCAGCACTGTTTGTTTCCAAAAATTAACACGGGATCCGACTATCTTCTTTATTAATTTATCTATGGTTTGAAGTTTTGACGAGCTGACAACTGACATGACATTTCGATACGAGCGCCATCCCGTTAATTGGAGTGGTACTAAATTACCAACCTCATGTTTTTCCATTTGAGTTACCAGCCCCTTCCCATATTTCTCAATATATCTATCTAGCTGGAATTCTTTTCGTGGTAGATTTTGACGTACAACTTCCAAAATCTGATATTTCATACCGTTGTATGATATTATCTTCATTCAACGGTTTAACATTGGCGTGGGGTCTCTAGAAGATACATGCTTTGTGGTGGAATTTCCATTTATTGCTGAAGAGTCCTAATAAGGATGACTTTCTCCTTAGTGAGCAAAATCAAAGGCAGATGTTGAAAATATTTTGAGTGTTGAAAATATTTTTTCTCTGCTATTTTCTTTCAACGTTATTCAATAATCATTGGTTACTTATGAACCTCTACTAAAGATACCCATAAAATATTTTGCTGAATATCTGAATATCTTCTATATCCTGGGATATAGACGGACATTTGGATATCCATATTGGATCCACTGGATATATTGGATATCCACATAATATATTCTGTGGATATCTCTGGGATTTCTTGTATTTTCTGGAAGATACCCATTAGATATTTTGCTGGATATCCATAGGATATTTTCTATATTCTGGATATAGACGGACATTTGGATATCCATATTAGATCCACGGGATAATTCTGATATCCTGTGGATATATTGGATATCCACAAAAGATATTCTGTGGATATCTCTGGGATTTGGTGTGTTGTCTGGGAAGTTATATACACCACCGGGCATGGTATACATTTTTGTGCTTCCTATATCTATAGAACCTCCTATTCAATTTAACACACACTTCCAACAAAAAAAAAGAATAATCTTAATTACGTGGATTAGGCCTATTGGGGAAACCACTACAAAAAAAAACGTGCCAAAACCTTTACCTCTGTAGCGGTGTGGAAATGTGATTAACGTATTTGTTAATTTTTCTCATAGTTGTTGCAATATACGTTCGTATCTATAGTTTCATTCATTCCTGTATGGAATATCCGAAATATCCATATTTTTCTACTAAAAATTATAAACGAAATAACTGTTAAAAGTTTAATAATTTTTAATATATTATATAACTCGCTATATACTATGAATTATGTGCCTGTACAATATACGTACCCAGTGTTACGAAATCACCCTATAAAATTTTGTAGTGTGTATTAACATTTATTTTAAAATCATCCTGTAAAAAACAAATAATGTACAAGTAGTTATGGTTTTATTGATTGTATTGATTTTGTCTTTTAACAGAATAAAAGTTATATTCCAATTTCCGATTTTCTTTCTTAGCCTTGATAATGTATCTAACGTTAAAACCAGTATTTAAATTATACCTACATAAGAAAATGGATAATTATCAATTGTGTATAAAAACTTATCACTAATATCGGAAAATGATGTGGTATTCCAATATATTTGGTAGGTAATTATAAAACAGATTATTCTGTACTTATATTTCAAAATCTTATGGTTACATGCATAATGTAATTTACTCAAAAGTCTCTAAAGAAATGCAAGGTCCTGTTTTAATAATTTCAAAACATAATTATTTTTGGTGGTTGGCTACATGGCTCACCCTGTATAAAAAGTACAAATAGCGATATCTTTTAACCTCAAAATTGTTAACGGGTAGAGATTAAGATAATGAAATAATTTATCCGTGGCGCAACTGTATAATTATTGAGTGTTTGCAAAAGTATATTGTGATTTATCTGTAACAGTAAATATTTTAAAATGTCCTTTTTTTTGAACAACTGACCAAAAATTATATTAAACTTTTATATACATTGAGTCAATCTATCTTTTCAGTGTGAAGAAAAAATAACTAAAATCAACAATTCTCCACTTTAACGCCCTGTATCTCGAAAACTAGTCATAGTATCAGATTTAAAATTCATACTTCCTAAAACGACATTAAAATTATTATATATTGAGAAAATGGTTACATTTGACGGAGGAAATTTTAGAATACAGGGTGCTCGTGGTTTTTGTACTTTTCTTAATATACAATACCTTTCAACAAATAAATCACCTTGTATATTTTGAAGCTTAAAAGTAGATATATTTTAGTTATATTAACTTTCCCAAAATTCAACTCATAAGTACAGGGTTTTGAATTAATCGTTAAAAAAATAATTTTGTTGTGGTTCTCTCTATAAAACACCCTTTATAAAAAATGTGTACTGTACAATACTTTGTCGTCAAAATACCATATTGAGTAGTACTTTTTGAAAATATGCTTCTCTGACCGCAAAGTATAATTAGTGTGATTTTACAAAAAATTACCGTCATACATTTGTGAATCACCCTCTAATTATACATATTATTTTTAATTATACGTATGAACTAATGTCTTACTAAAACTCATAGTAAACGGTGCATGCATCAAAAATTCAATTTAGCTCGTAAGTTTGCAAATAAAAATTCCCAAAAACTGGGCTATTTTCAACTTTAACATCCCGTATATCGAAAACTAGTCATAGTATTGAGTTGGGCCCATTGGCACTTTTGGTTACTACGTTGACTACAACATACCAGAGTTTCAGAAAATTTGACAGGTCGCCACTTTGCATAAGAAAAGTGCGGGGTCCTTTGTAAGCTTTCAATACATTTGCAGCGAATGTATTTTGTTTAGTGGGGTAACATACACTTATTTACAAATTTTCATCTAAATCAGTGTAGTCCAAAAGAATTCAGAATAGGTTATTTTTACCTTGGAACACTGGACTAATATCAACAAAAACTTAGGACTGCATAATATCCCAGTAATGTTGCTCCTGTCTTCACCAAGCTTTTTTAACTTTCTTTGGTTTGAAACAATCATTTTACGAAAAAAAAATTATACTTACGTGTATCTACATAATACACTGATGATGGAAACTAATATTTTTGCTTTGGTAATCTAGCTTTATGAAATTCAAACAAATCATTAAAGCCAAAGTGCCAAAGCAAAACTGTCAGTAAATTTTTGGCACTCATCTTCAATAAACACTTCATTTGCGTTGGTAAAATTACTTAAATATTTCAATCAATTAAAATGTGAAACTGTAGTCAACCGACTTATAAGTATAATAGTATAAAAACAAAAATAAAAAAAAATCTTATATATTTCTCGAACAATACAAGGAACAGATTAATTTAAAAAATTCACAAAAATTCACCTATTATTTATTTTTTGTTTTTGAAATTTATTTTTATTCTTATCCTTTTTGTGTAACTTTAACTGTCCAACCGTTTTTTTATTTTTCTTTTTCAGTTTTTTGCCTAATTTTGTTGCAGCTTCAACAGGAACATCACTCCAGTTTACTGAACTGGAACTCGTCGCTATTTTTGAATTATTCTCTTCTAGTTTTTTCTTTTTAGGAGTATGTTTTTTTAATCTTTGCTTATTATTTTGGATATTACTACTAGTTGACGTTTCTAAAGAATTGTCAATTTTCTTTTTTATCCTTTTTATTTTTTCTGCTGTCGATTGCTTATTATTTCCATCAAATTCATTAGTTTGTTTGTTTTTCTTTTTACTTTTTGTACTAGAATTTTCACGTTTACTAAGTTTTCCGGTGTTTTCCTTTTTATTTTTATTATGTGACTTTTTATCTGTAATTTCAACTAATCTTTTTTTCTTATTCTGTTTTTTATTTTTTGTTTTCTCCATTTCTTTATTCTTTGATTGCTTCTTTTCATTGCCATGTGTTCCTGAATCATTACCATTAACCTTTAATTTCTTTTTAGGTTTTTCTACTTCATTTTCTTCTACTTCATTTTCTTCTACTTCATTTTCTTCATCACTTACTTCCATAGACATTGTGTTGTTTGCTGGCACTTCTTCTGTTTCATCTTCTGCCTCATTCTCAATACTAGCTGATTTTGGAATAACATCTGAAAACTTCTTAAGTTTAGCAACAAAAAACCCATCCATATTATGGGTGTGTGGATAGAAACGTTTCGTTAATTTAAGTGTTTGATGAAACCTGTGGTGTCTGTAGTTTACAAAGCCATCTGTTCCAAAGTCGAGCCCTGTATCTACTAATTTAACATTACGTTTTCTTAGAGCATAATCAATTACCCATTCATTTTCTTCTGGTAATATTGAACAGGTCGAATATACGATATATCCTCCAGTGGTAGATTTGGCATTGACACAGTCAATAGCGGCTATAAGTAACTCTCTCTGAAGGTTGTAACATCTTTGTATGTCCACATCATCTTTGCTGGTTTTAACACTAGGATCTTTAGCCACCACTCCAGTACCTAGAATCAAAATTAACATAAGCCAAATCTTCAGTGAAAAAGAAAACGTATTAAAAGTCGATTCTTTTAATAAAGTCATTTAAAAAAATTACTGACAGTACTCTTACAGTAATAAATAATAAAGTTTATATTGCAAATTTTATTGATGTGAATTAGGGGGTCAAATTTAATTTTTTACTCCAGTGGTATTGAATAAGCTTTTTATAGAGGCAGGAGTATCTGATGAAAGTAAACTAAATTTGGCAATCAACTGTTTGAGGGATGCAGCAGCCAATTATGCCGCTATAAAAGGTAAATTAATATCCACATACTTCCCACAAGGCAACCACACAGAGCAATATAACAAAAAAGGTAGTAAACTTACAGGATAGCCAAATGTTGCTTAAATAATAGCATCAGGCTATTTACCCAAGTATAGGCAGTCAGGGACAATCAGGAACTGATCATACAAAAATATGTTAAATATCTGAATCAGGCGCCACCAGAGGTACCCAGACAAGCCATATGAAATTTCACGCGGAAAAATTTAAAAAAACCTGATAAATTTAATACCAAAATTCGGCCAGTTTCTTTTGAACTGGGTGGTAGGGTTTTGGTCCGAACACACTTATGGACGTAGGCTGAAGAACCAACCATTTTAAAGTTCTTTTTGCTATTTGAAGGTCCCTTTATAATATTGCAGGTAGCCTACCCCAACTCATATAACATATGTCACTAAAGTTTTCGGAAAAAAGTCATGTATGATTTGTTTTATTTTAAAAACAATTTATCTATGTCTGTGGAAAAACAAACGCAGGTATACGTTGTTGATTTATTTGACATTTCAGTTTTGTGTTTTGTTGACATCATGGCTTACAAATTGGAATTAAGACGAAGCATTTATAACTTAGTTGGCAAAATGCCGAAAAAAGAAATTGTAAATATTTTTCGAAATGAAAATATTTCAGTTTCAACAATTTATCAAGCAATTCGTGAGTGTGAAGAAGGAATACCGTGTTCTAATTTGCCAAAAAGTGGTCGACCACGGAAATTATCTGCAGTTCAAGCCAATAGATTGGTTCTATTTGTCAAAAACACCATTGGTCCATCCACACGAAAGTTGGGTCGTCGTTTTGGCATATGTCGAATGACTGTTAGTCGCGAATTCAAAAGAAATGTCTTAAAATATAGAAAACGAAGAAAATGCCCCAAGTATACCGTTAATCAGTTAGAAAGAATTCCAAGATGTTGTCGATCTTTACGAATTCGTCACTTCGCCAATAATAAAATTATAATTATGGACGATGAGAAATACTTCACATTTGCTAACCCGGAAATTTCTGGCAATAGTGGATTCTATACAGATAATTTTAATGACTGTCCTGATAATGTGAAATTTAAAGAGAAGGCAAAGTTTGAGGATAAAATCATGGTGTGGTGTGCAATTTCAGAAGCAGGCGTTTCTAGACCGTATGTGGGTCGTGTTAGAGGTCAGGCGGTTGATGCTAATGTTTATACACAAAATTGTCTTCCAAAATTACTGGATTTTATTAATTTATATCATGCTAACGACGAAATAATGTTATGGCCTGACCTAGCTTCATGTCACTATGCCCATGCAACAAGACAGTGGTTAGAGGCAAACCACATACCATTTGTGCCCCGTGAAGACAACCCTCCTAACGTACCCCAGGCTAGACCGATCGAAACTTTTTGGGCATTACTTACAAGATATACGACAATGGATGGGAAGCCCAAAATCAGGATCAATTGAGGAGAAGAATCTATCAGAAGGTACGCGAATTAGACTTGGAAGCTTGCCAAGCGCTTATGAGGCAAGTCAGAACGAAACTGCGCCGCATAGAAGAACATGGGCCACTATCTCTGTATTAATTATAAGTTTTAAAGCTTACATTATATTAAGTATTGTAGAGTTTAAATAAAACTTTCTTAAACCACAGTATTGTGCATTCAATTTTTTTCCGAAAACTTTAGTGATATATGTTATAATAGGGAACATAGGAGAGAAATTTCGAAACAAAATATTAATTTAAAACCTTACAAGCTCTCCCCAATCTTGAAGTAAAATAATAATAATATTTATTAATGCCAGGAACAATATTATACAGAAAAAAATACATATGAAATTGTATGGTATAAGTCAGAAGCCAGGATAATCTGTACTAGTTTGATGACCTACAAAGTACACATTGGGGTGACTTAGAAATGAATATAGTCGTGCATTTGCTAAAAAATATGGGGAAACCCAGCAAAACCCATCATTGAAAATTAGTATAGATATCTGTTGATTTTACAAAGTATTTACAAATAGTAATTACAATCACTTCGTTTACATCATCTAAGCTGTAAGGCTCAATAGAAATCAAAATTTGTTTGACCTTATTTTTGAAAGCTGATAGACTCTTAGTATTTTTTAAAAGATCAGGAAGCATATTATAAAATTGCAAACATTTGTAACAGCATCCCTTTTCCAGTAGGATAGTTCTATGCGTCGTAGACAAAAATTATTTCTAAACCTTGTGTTGTGAAGGTGGTTGCTATATATTCGTTGAATATACTTTTATTTTTATGCACAAACATAATACACTCATATGAGTAACTAGCATATACTGTCAACAAATTTAGATTTTTAAAGTGACCTCTACATGATTCTGTAAGCTTTAGATTAGCCAATATTCGAATCGCTCTTTTTTGTATTACAAAGACTTCTTGACAGTGTGAACCACCCCAAAAAATAATTTCATAGCACATTGAAGAATAAAATAGACCATAATACACTGATATAAGATAAGAATGATCTACGACTTTTTAAACTTGTTTCAATGCAAAGCAAGCTCTGCTGAGCCTTCCACCAAGTGAATGTAGATGTTCCACCCAAGTTAGATGCTCATCAATTATTACGCCGAGAACTTTTGTCGATTTAGAATATTCTAGTAATGTATTACATAAGTTGATATCCTCTGGATATACATTTTTATTACGACTGTGCTTAAAAAGTATGCAATTAGTTTTAGATAGATTTAATAATAGCGAGTTTTCACCAAACCATATTGAAATTCTCTCTACAGTATTTGAGGTATCTTTTACAAGTACTTTGTAATGGTTTCTAGATAGTGTGTCATCGGCATTATTAGTAAGAGCTACAGAAAAATTTGTAAACATTTTTGGTAAATCGTTCAGATATAATCTGCGAGCATATATTAATAGAGCCATCGTCCAAATGTACTTTGTTTAGGTACAGGGGGGGAAAATAGTGTCCAGTATTCACATTGGTCTGTTCCATTTTGCTTGGCATGTCAAATCGTTTGAAATTGTCAGAACTGTCATTTGATTTTTGACTTTCATTAATTTCTAGCTTATTTTTGTAGTTTATAAGTGATTTTTTGTATTTTATTACTTTAGTGATACAAATTTTAACAATGGTGAGAGTTTGTGTAAGTTTTAAATAAAAATATGAAAAGGCATCGTCAAGGTCATTCCACAAGTAAGTAACCATTAGCGTCTCTACCATTTTTATAAAAGAAACATAAGTAACTACATTTTATGCAAAAGGCCGTTAAACATGAATTTAAAATAAATGGTAAATTTAGTGAATTAAATTTAAAGAACTTGTATTATATATGAGGAATATTGTTTTAGATTTTGGACTCTACTAAAAAGTTAAATAAATAATCACAATTTTTTAATATTAACAAGCTTTTCGTTTTTAACTCATTTTATCATGATAATGTTGAAGATGTTAAATCAATAATTTTTTTTTGTAAGTTTCTAACTAATCCTGCCGAAAAACACATTTGATGAAACATATTGAAACTTACTCCAGAAAACATTTCAAATAGTGATTTTTTATGTTACAATCATTTTTCTGGACATATGTTTATGTCACAGACTGGATGTGGAGGAAGAACTAGATTAATTCCAGGTGCATTGCCGTAAGGACTTACTGAGACCCCAGAAGAATGTGAAATTAAAAGGTAAAGAACCCTGCACTTGTGGGTTAATCGTTCAATTTTTTTAATTTTTTAGTGATGATCTGAACCATGAAGCCTCTGTTGCAGAAAAAGAAAATGCAGGATTAGAAAGCATATAAGTAACTAAGGGCCGATTCCACCGTTGTGTTAAACGGAGATTAAAATGACATTGTCAATGTAAAAATATCAATTTAAACTTCGTTTAACACAACGGTGGAATCGGTCCTATGTACTTTTTAATACAACATAAATTTTATTTTCAAATACTTACCTATTACTAACTATTTTTTTATAAAACACAAACATTGACAATCATTATTTTTTATTAAATATACCTATGTTCTTTAATTAAGTAGACTGCTAGTCGTTAAGAAATAAGCAAAGCCTAATCTGATTTTTTTAATGAAAAAAATCATTTTAAGCTTCTTTTCTTTGTACTCCTAGTCATTAAGAAATAATCGAAGCTTCAAACACTTTTACGATAAAAATTAAGCTTCACTTATTTGTTAGTATTAGCTTGATTTCTATTTGTAGGATATCGTTTAGTAATCTATTGAACATTGTTTACGAACAATATTTTTATGTTTAATAAATTATTGGAAAAAATTCTTTTATTGTAATTCTCGTACACGTGTGTTGATAGATATCATAAATATTTTTATAATATACCTAATATTTATTTATATTTTTGATTTTTAAATATAAGCTCTTTATCTTTTTTATTGCCTATTATTTTAACCTTCATTTTCCGTTATACACTTTCTAATGTTTGAATTAAAAAAATCTGATGTATCCAACACTAATAATAATAATAAATAATAATAATTTACTATTACTAGATACCTACTTAAATAATGCAAGTTTATAAAATATGTGTATAATTTAAAGAATTTTAAAGGTATATATCAAATTTATTTATTTATATTATTGCAAACCCCGTAAAAATGATGCGACACTGAAAATAGTGTCTACCGGTTTCCCCTCATAACCCAAACAAACGCTGTTGAATGCGGACTCTATGAAATATATATGCTTGAAGGATATAATACAAATAAAATAGGACCTAAGACACTTCCCTGTGGAACACCCAGCATAGTATTTTTTGATTCAGAGTAATATTCGCTATTGTCATATTTAAAACAAACCTGTTGTGTCCTATTTGAAATATACGATTGAAACCAGTCATATGCATTACCTCGCACCCCCATTTTGTATAATTTATTAAGAAGTATATGGTGATTCACATAATCAAAAGCCTTTGTTAAATCTAAGAAAACTCCGTGAACAATATTTCCAGAATCTTAAAATTGTAACATTATTTATTTCTAAAAATGGCAATAGTCTGTTACACATAGCAATTTCAAAAACTTTGGAAAAACAAGAGAGATTTTCTGTTTCTTATACCTAACAAGTTTGTTTTATTATTTTTTTACAGTCCTGCTGATGTAAATAATAAAAGTTGTGGTTTCATGAATTTAAAAAAGTTTTTCTTTTATCTGGGTTTGAACTTAAACACTGCTTTATGTTTGTATAACGTGATTTAAGTTGGAGGGTGGTGAAGTAGTATCCAGTGACACTGACATTTTAGTTTAAAAACGACGGAAACTGAGGACGATCAGTCGGGTTCGAAGAAGCGAATAGCGAAGGTGATGTAAATTAACTTTGAAACAAACATTGCTTAACGAATGGTGTTCTATTCTTCAAATAAAAGTTTTTAATCTTCCATAATTATTAAACTCCTCAAAACCTATACCAATGAAACGTTTCTTTCAAACTAATAAAATCTTAAAATGGTCACAACATAATGAATGAAACTTCAAAGAAACTTATGGAATAAGAATTGTAACTAAGTATCTGAGTAAGGTAACCTATAAGACACTAATTTGTCAATTTTCAAAATGGAATTATCTTTTTGGGGCAGTAACAGCAGTACCGAAAAAATACCCCTAATACAAAAAACACAGTGTGAATACTAAATAGACCAAATTAATAAAACAAAGGAAAACCTTTTACTTGCAAAATATGAAGAAAATGCTTTGAGTAGTAATAAAAAAATTCTTTGAGCAGTACACGTTTTACTTTAGGATTTAAAGTAAATTGATATTAATAAACTATACCCTTTACTTTGGTTTTAGAGCAAATCCTTGCAAAATGATGCATCTACTCAGTTGCAGATTTATCATTGTAGTTGGAAGGTTTCCTGAAAAGTCATCAAAAATCTAGATTTTCCTTTTTACCGGAGAAATGGTCTCAGGCAGGGCGGGACATATGATAAAAGGTAAAATTAAAGCCAAACATAGATGTCAAAACGTACCTGTACAAGGAGCATCCAAAAGAACTCTATCAAATCCTTTCATGTTTTGTGGATATTTCCTGCCATCCATGCATGTAATGACAGAATTAACAATGCCCATTCTATGGAAATTGCCAACAACTGCCTTGATTCTGTCTTTGTTTATGTCATTAGCAAAAAGAACACCTGTATTTTTCATGATTGCAGCTATGTGTGAAGCTTTTCCACCAGGAGCAGCAGACATATCAAGAATTCGTTCATTTTCTTGGGGAGCCAAGGCCATCACAGGTAGCATACTTGAAGCACCCTAAAAATGTTTTTTTTAGGTAAACATGTAATTGTTAATTATTTTAAAGGAAACATTTTACTTTTTTAAATATATTTTACCTGTATTATGTAATGTCCAGCCAAATACTCAGGAGTTGCTCCCATGGGTACTTGAGACGAATAGACTACCAGCCCCACCTTACTCCATTTTCCAATAGGATCCAAATTAACACCTCGGTTGATTAGAACTTGTGCTAAATCTCGTCGTCTAGTTTTGAGACTGTTTGTTCTTATAGTAAGAGGCCTCTGTACTTCACTAGACTCTAAAAACTCCAATAATTCAGAGAGAGGAAATAGTTGCATTAATTTTTCCATTAAAAACTCATTGTAACTGTAATAGGTACATAGATCATTTTTAAGGATATCAATGTATTCAGATCGAGAGTGTTTTCCATCTCTGAGTTTTTTAAAATCACTAAGAACAGTCACAATTTCTCGCATTCTCTGTTGGACATCTTGTAAACTTTGTATATCATTTTCAGAATCCTTGGCTGGGAAAATGAATTTTTCTTGGTTCGCTATGTTGAGCTGCAATTCTTCTTCAGCTAATTTGTCTTCTATTTCTTGTTGTTTTCTCAATTTCTTGCTCTGTTTTTCAATTGGAAGTAAATCCTCGTCATCTTTATTATCATCAGAGTCACCTGAAAATTCGTCACCTTCTTCAGAGTCATCATCTCCAGACAAATCATTAAGATTTTCAACTTTTAAATTATCTTCCTCAGGCTCTTCATCTTCTTCTGCATACTCATCTGCTATATCTACATCTTCTTCTTCTTCTTCTTCTTCTTCTTCTGTATCCTCATCTGCTATATCTGCTTCTTCTTCAGACTCTCCACTTTCCTGTTCACCTTCAGATTCTTCAACAATTTCTTGTTCAGAATTACAACTTTCTTCTTCCTGTATAAATTTAACTTTTAATGAATTATAAAATCTGATAAAGAAATATAGGTGGAAAGATTTGAAGTTTAAGTATAAAGGGTGTCCAGAAATAAGTTATAAAAATCAGAACAAGAGATTATGTGGTCAGAGCTAAGGTGAGTTCTTCATGTAACATTTTTTTCCAGGTAAACTTTCATTATACTCTTATAGGCCGCCTTGAAGTGTGGCACTAAAACAACAAACACGTTGTTATAATGAATATCCAATCGAGTAAGGCGATATTTCATGATCTCTTATTTAATTTTTTTAATGTTGTTAAACTGTCATTATTTACATGTTTTTCGACCAATTAAAGGGTATCGTCCGATATTAACCAAAATATCGGTTAAACGGTCCAAAACTAACTACTCTGCTTGAAATTCCTGAAAAACTGGTTAAATTAGGGACGCGGTTACCTGAAAATGGTGAAAACGTCAATTCGCTAACCAGTATATTTTTACGGTTATCATTAAGTCGAATGTCAATCTGTCACAAAAGTGACGCATCTCTCGGCCGTGGTCCAAATGTAACCAACAAATTTTCAGGAACCGCTGTCAAAAAAAACTGGTTTTATGATTAGTAGTCGGTTAATATGGGACCAAACCCTAAATGTTTCCAGATAAATATTTACCAATATTTAATTTGCTAATGATTTGAGGAAGCATAACATCATTTATTTGAATTTTAATAATCAAAGTAACGATTAAACGATTAAAAATTCAAATAATCATCCAACTCTACTTTTTATCTGAACTGACGTTGACGTTTCCATCTTTAAGGATTTACACTTAGGTAACTATTTAAAAACATGTTGAAACATGAAAAAAAAGTGTGTAAAACAGATTTTTGAAAATGTATAAGGGGTTGTTTTTAACCCTTCAATAAGCTAGACAAAACCATGTCAGTAGAAAGATATACTTAGATAAGTATAAATGATGGGCAAAATTTATATAGTTTTGATAATATAAGTTATACATTTTTCAGTGACATACTTCAAGGTGGATAATGAAGACTTGCCTCAAAAAAAGGTTACATGAGGAACCCACATGTCCACATAATTTCCAATTCAATTTTTTAATAATGTGTGGAAAAAAGAGAGAGTGGGGTATGTCATTTATATAGCCAGAAAAATGAATAAGCAGTGTTCCATGGCGACTTACAGATCATTGATGGTCCCAGATTTAAAAAAAAATAAATAAAAACAGTATACATCAGAGATGGGGAGGATTTGAAACGCATGGGATTCACATCCCAGGAATCGATTCCTTTTTGAGGTTTAGAGACCAGTATTTGAATACTTAAAAAAGGATTTGTGATCCAGATTCACCGAAGAAATGTGAATGTTGAATCACCAATAATAGGGTCAAATCCTTTTAGGCCAAACTACGCCAACCCCCCACATCCGAACCGACAGTATAGATCGAGAATGCAAAGAAAATAATTGTCAAAAAAAAATTGTAGCTTTGTAAAAAACTTGAATCATTTAAATAGTTCTAGCTAAATTTTTTATAGATGCCACCCCTCCATCTCCCTCTAGAGGATGGTGGTGGTAAGATTTTTGTACAAAAACATTGCAAATCTAGTCTATTATAAATAGACAAAAAATTAGATTTTTATCTCATCTGTAACTATTTTTAAATGCCAGCGGCCAAATATTTTTAGAAAAATGTTATCAAAAAAGTTGAAATTTTATAGTAAAATAATACAGTGGTATTTAACTTACATAGATACAAAATATAATACATTTATCAATGAATCACATATATCATGTTTTTAAAGCTTTGACCTCAAGTTAGCTTCAAAGGAACTCAGGGAAAGACCAATAAAATCAATGCCCTGTTCACCAAGCATATTGGCTGTTCTTGAAAAAATTGTAACATTATTTTTTGAAGGTGGCACCTCCGTGATATCAGCTAAAGCGATGTTACCCAAAGTGGTCTATATCGACCCCAGGGGTGAAGATGACCTACAAGGGGTCCATGTGAGCGAAAAAAAGAATTAGGGGTCCGTGAGATGTAAACGGGGGTTCACGAAAGTCGATCTCATTTAAGCAGGTCACAACTTTAATTTTGACTTTCCATTAATGGAGTAACCCACACACAAAGATGATTTGTTGTTTAGTTTTTACCTGAAAGCATAAAAAAAATAGATGACAATCAGTACTAAAATTGTACTGTTGTAGATTTTGTAAACAAATAACTCATTTTCGCAATTTTATAATATAAGTAGTAAATTAATATATCTCATAAAATTGTGTAAGTTAGTAGAATAAGTATTCACTTTGAGGTCATAATAAACTTTGAACTTGTAGAAACTTGCACATATACATGCTACCTATGCGAAGTAGAAGTGCTTGCCCATTCTTGTCTCAGACATTCGTAAAGACAGTGTAGCAACTTTTTTTTTTCAACTAAAAACAAACTTAAAACTTTCAGGAAGGTGAAAAAAGAAGCCTCTAAAAATTTGAGCTCTTAATATTATAATTTAGTGGTGCCTGTTCCTAACTTTCCATTTTCCATCTAAATAACATGGAATTTTTTTTCTTTTTTCTTATTTTTGTAGTTTGACATTTGAGCATTTTAAAAATAAAGTGAAAAATGATTTTGGTAGGAAATTGAACGCTCTACAAAAAAGTTCTAATTTATTTTTTTCATAGAGTGAGCCATTCTGAAGATATTCAAACTTAAAGTTGCAAATGAGTGAAATTAGGACTTTTATTTTATTAAACTAATATTGATGACTTTTTTATGTCTTAAAAATTGTTTTTAATCAGAAAATTGGTTTTTGTGCGGTAATATTTTTAGAAAGCTAAAATAAAAAAATTACATCTTAGATATTATTTGATTATTTGATTAACTGTTAAACAAAAGTAATTATGAATTAGGTTCAGAAAAAATTATTATTTTATAGATTAAAAAAAACTTTTTAACAATTAGCATACTACAATTTTGAAACTAATAGATATTTTAATGTCTTATCAGAATTAAATGATGTAACTATATTTGTTGAAGTTTTTTATTACAATTTGGATATTTTCGTCGATGCTCCTTTACCACTTGTAATACATATTGAAATTGTTCCTCATCTTTAGTTAGGCATCTATTATATTCTTCTACTAATGCGACGCCATGTCCTGCAACGTCATTGACAACTTTAAATTTTTCGAAAAACTCCAAATTCTCTTGATAACTTTCATTATCTGGCCAAAGTAGGACATCTGCATCCAGAAAGTCGTACGGCAAATCAAATTTGTCAAAAAGTTTCAATGATTGTTTTGAAACAAAGTCACTCATATATTTTTTTTTTAAATATTTCTGGTGAATTTTTGTCTTCTGTGCGTCGTTATTTTATTTCTATATGAAAATAATGATGTTTTCTTAAAAATAATTTTTAAGACATAAAAAAGTCATCAGTTTAATAAAATAAAAGTCCTAATTTCATACATTTGCAACTTTAAGTTTGAATATCTTCAGAACGGCTCGCTCTATGAAAAAAATAAATTAGAACTTTTTGTAGAGCGTTCAATTTCCTACCAAAATCATTTTTCACTTTATTTTTAAAATGCTCAAATGTCAAGCTACAAAAATAAGAAAAAAGAAAAATGTTTTTTCTATGTTATTTAGATGGAAAATGGAAAGTTAAGAACAGGCACCACTAAATGATAATTGTAAGAGCTCAAATTTTTAGAGGCTTCTTTTTTCACCTTCCTGAAAGTTTTAAGCCTATTTTTTAGTTGAAAAAAAAAAGTTGCTCAAAAATGAAACACCCTAATGGACATAATCCACGATCTTATTCTAAACGTACAAGGTTGAATTTAGTTAAATTGTTCAAGTACTTCTTAATATGATTGTATTATTCTATCGAGCTAAGCTGATTGAATAATAAAATCCAATGGAACCAGAAGGTGAATAGTGGAGGTTTTCAACGGTTACTAGCTAATCCCTTTAGTTTGGACACAAGATTTGTTTTTAATAAGTTGAAGTGTGTATGACGTACCTACGACTATATTCAGCCTTGCACCTTTTAAACAAGATCACAGACAAAAAAGTTAATGGCATTGTTGTCCTTCGTATGCTCAACACCTTTTTCCAAAAGTTGTTCCATTGGAGAAGTGTTACCTGCTTAAGAAGCATTAACCATTAATTCAGCAGATTTACAATAAGTTAAATTATTGAATTAAATAAGCTTTTTTGCCTAATATCTTTTACATTATTGGTATAACTAAGCTCAATTTTGTTCACAGGTAACTGATATTAAACATGGCCGAATCTAAAAAGAAATTTAGACAATACAGTGTTGATTAATTGAAATTTGGCGTCATTCCTTCCTTGTCGGACAAGCAATTGCATATGTGCCTTTTATGCAACAAAGTTTGAAGTCATGAAACTAAGCTGGAGGATCATTTAAGAAGATGTCACCCTGATAAAATAGGTAAATATTTGAAATACTTTCAAATGCTCAAAGTTAAAGTTCAGAAGAGACCCACAGTGGACAAATTGTTCGCTTCAATGTCACAAAGAGATGATGGTGTGAGAGTGTCTTACAATATCTCGCTACTTATAGCAAAATCCAGAAAACCCCATACTATTGGAGAAAAGTTCAAAGGCAAATTGATGAAATGAGTTATGAAATTAAAGCAACTTGTGTAGGGGAAAGTGGCGGATATTATTATTTGCCGTGGCACTCCAGGGCAACTTAAAGATGATTGTGGTGCCATTTGACTTACAGGTGAGGAAAACCCCACTCACCATCATCATTTTTATTTTAATTTTTATTTAATTTATTTATGACAGGATTAATTACAGTAATAACATGATTAATTACAACAATAAACAAATTATAAATTAGTCATAGGTAAATAAGTTAGCACCTGTATGTGCTAGACAGACTAAAAAACTAATACATAAAGATTAAAAAACTAAAATATAAAGTTTTAGTATTTTTATATAAATGTTAAATGTAATAAGGCAGCAATGTTATATAATATAATATGTAATAATGTTATAATCTTGTAATCTACAGGGTTCCAACATATTACAGTGAGATGTGTGTTATTCTAAGAAGAATCTATACAATTTTGAGTAGTTTTGGTAGATGAAGGATTTGCATGCTTTCTTAAATAAATGTTGTTAGTTAATTAATTTGATCTCAGGAGGTAAAGCATTGTAACACTTTGGTCCTAAGTAATTTATACAATTTTTGAAAGATTCACTATTAGGCATAGATATTTTAATATTCAAGTTATTAAAAGTTCTGGTTTTATGTTGATGACCCAGAGGTTTTTTTAGTACCTCATGTTTTTGTATGTAACAGCATATTGTGTTCATGTATAAACTTCTAACATTAGATATTGTTTCATTATATAGTAGAATAGTAGGATATAATCGCTGTTTGTTGAAAATAATTTTCAGTATTTTATTTTGTATGACATTTAGTGGTCTAAGGGTTGTTTCATATAGGCCTCCCCATACTAGTATACCATAACATAGAATAGATTCTACCAAGCTAAAATATAGGCTTATTAAGAGATTTTGGTTAAGAAATTGTTTTAAAAGATAAAATTTATAGATTATAAATCTAAGCTTTTTTGATATATATGCTATATGAGAGTCCCATTTTAGATGTTTGTCTATAATTATACCCAAGTATTTAGAAGTTTCTGTTTCTTGTATTTTAGAGTCCAAATTACTGGTAACTATTTCTTTAAAATGAGGGCGATCAGCTAATGTTTTAGAGAATGCTATATAGTTCGTTTCTTTGATATTAAGGGATAATTTACAAACATCTAACCAGTTTTTTACATGTTCAATTCGTTGTATGGCTTGCATTTTTGTAGATTCCCAAGTTTTATTACTGAAGACGAGCACAGTATTGTCTGCATAAGAAATTACTTTACCTTGAATGTCAATCTCAGTCAAGCTTTTGATGTATAAGTTGAATAATATTGGCCCTAAGACAGTACCTTGAGGTATACCAATTTGTACATATTCAGGATTACTAAGACTATCTCTTATTTTAACTTGTTGTTCCCTCTGAGTCAGATAGCTTTCAAAGACATTCCATGCAGTGCCTCTTATCCCATTCTTTTCAAGTACATCGAAAAGTTTTTGGTGTGGCACTGTGTCAAAAGCCTTTGCTAAATCCAAAAAGGTGGCGATACATTTTTTATTGTTGTTCATTTCTTCAGCTACATGAGATATTAGTGCATGCATAGCATCACTCGAATTAAGACCCTCTGTAAAACCATATTGATGCTGAGGAAGCAGATTGTTAATTGTTAAGTATTCAATGAGTCTCTCTTTCAAACATTTCTCAAATATTTTTGCGATATTACTAATTAAACTGATTGGCTTGTAATTGCCTATTAAGTTTGGGTTACCGGTTTTATAGATCGGGGTTATAATGGATTTTTTAAAATGTTTCGGTACAATCCCAGTACAGAATATTGTATTAATTATATGTTTTAAGGGAGTTACAATGAACGGATGTAATAGTTTTGTGTTTTACTGATACACAATCAAATCCAGGGGTACTGTTGTTCTTTAGGCTATTTATATATCTAATTGTATCATTGTCACAAATAGGTTTTAAAAATATTGACTTAGTTATCATCGTTTGTACAGGGTAATTTATTTTACAATCACGAATGGTTTCATACATTTTTGTACCAATAGAGGTAAAATATTTATTACAATAGTTCGCCATTTCTTTGTCAGTATTGAAATCTTTATTCCCATCATCAACAATTACCAAGTGGTTTTGACTTTTTTTACAGCTGTCATTTGTAGCTTCTGAAATTATCTGGTAGGTTTTTTTTAAGTTATTCTTGTGTTTATTCATTTAAATTGTTTCTAAAAATTTTATATTCATTTTCTTTATTAATGGAGTGCTTTTTTTGTAATTGCTTTTTTAGTTTATCTCTGTTTTTGATGGAATTGATTAAGCCATTTGTTATCCAAGGTTTTATCTTTTTATGATTTTTTTGTTTAATTTTTTTTACAATTTTACATGATTCAATACTATTGAGATATTTGTCATAGAACTTTTGAGTTGTTATTTCAGGGTTATTTTCATTGAGAACACTTTCCCATGTTAAAGCTTCAAATTTAGAAATTAGTTTGTCAGTATCAATTTTAGTTATAGTTGTATAGGTAGTTAGAGATTTTGTTTTATTTATTGAAAGAGGGTTTGAAATATTTATCATAACCGGATCATGATCGGTTAAATCGTAGTTTATCATATATCAGTTGAATTTTAATTTTTCGGTTTTAATATTGTTTCTTAAAAATATGTGATCCAAACAGGTTTTACTCTGAGCCCGTGTGATTGTATTTATATAAGACAAGAAGCCATTTGAGTGAAGAGTTGCTTCGTAGTTATTTGTGATATGATTTTTTTCGTCCAGGAGATCGATATTAATGTCTCCTATAAACATTTCAATACTTTTGTTTAGGTGAGTGGGGATGTAATTTTCTATGTCTCGAATAAATGTATCTGTCAAAGTTTGAGGAGACCTATATAAAGAACTAATGCCAATAGTTGTATGATTTGCTGTTATGTTTATTTTAGTAATACAAATGCCTGAAAGTTCGAGCTTTATTGTGTTTATTTCTGCATTTAATTTTGATTTGACTAAAAAATAGTAATACATGTTGATTTTTATAGTATCAACAGAAATTAAATTTCTGCTAATACAGCATCCATCAAATCCTTTAGAGAAACATTCAAACAAATTATCATGTTCTTCCGTAGGATTCGAAGCCAGGTGTCTCTCTACCTCAAAATTGCTTGCAAATGAATGCAAGCACCTTAGACACCTACGCCACCAAGTTTGGTCTCAATATTTTGACCCAAAATGCCCTAGCCTTAAGAGCTGAATCCCAACCAAATAAATTGAAATGATTTAATTCACATGTTTTACAGGATTGAAACTGGACAACACATTTTGAAGATTTTTAAGGTAAACAAAAAACAAATTTTAAATGTCAGCGGAACCAAAATAATTCTTTCTAATTACACAGAATAGCTGGTACGTACCTCTTCATCACTTTCTTCTTCCAATTCTATCTTTTTGGACGTGTGTTTAGGGGTCAACCATTGTTTATTATCATCTGAGAACCCTACTGTACTTGGTTTTAGCACAACTTCATTATCCGATTCAGAAGATAATTCTTCAGAATCGTCCTGTCCATTTTGGGTAACATGTGTTTCAGATTTTTTCAGCTTTTGCTTTTCCTGTTTAACTTGCGCTTTTTGTAGTCTCTTTGTAGCTCTTTTCCTTTGTCTGTGACTTAATTTCTTGTCAAGATTGTCGTTACCTGAAATATAAATCTACATGAGTATTTGTAGTAGTAGTTATAATATAAAATCACTAATTCCCTTACCAATTAAAGCTTTAGAAAAAGTAGGATCTTTCTGTTTTTTTGACTTTCTGCCAGGCCCTTTTTTAACGACCACTCCCTCAGTAAACTTTGCTTTTCTTCCCATTGGAATTTAATAGATAATAACTAATATTTTAATAAAAAAACAAGAAAATTAAATTCCATGTGGTATCAGGAAAATGGTGTTAGGTTAAATAGTTTGACAGCAGACAGTATTAGACAGTTGACATAAGAATCTTGAAAAAATCATAGGTGTGTTCTTTTATTCAACAATTGTTCCATCAGTGATTGATATCAGGACGTCACTGATTTATTTCTGGTGGAAGGTATTTGCGCTGAATATAAGAACATTTCTCAAATGAAAAATTTGACGTTGGATACCGCTTTAAAAATTAAATCCGTTTTAATTTAAATTAACAGTAATTTATCTCTTCTGTAGCCGTTTTATATTTAAACTTTTATAATGTAGGTTAACTTTTGTCTAAATAATCGTGTTCATACTTTTAAAAAAGTTGGTTAACTCTCCCCACCATTCATCCATCATATATCCATTGGCTTTTAAAGCCGATGGATACATTGGCTCATTGGTGAACTCCAATGAACTGGAGTGGGGTAGAATGCTTATCAATAGGCTTGAGATGCGACTCTATGGGCAAAGACAGGTTATTTTTCATCTCACTCGGAAGTATTTATAACAACCATTTTCTATTTCACTTTGTTATTGTCTGATCCACCAGCTTGTGGATTGAACAATAACAATGTGAAACAGAAAATGGTTATTATAAATACTCCCGAGTGAGATGAGAAATAAAAATGGCTGCGCCCATAGAGTCGCATCTTGTTTTATGATACAATATGCACATTGGCTTTCTACCCCACTCCAGTTCATTGGTGAACTCACCGCTGAAAAAAAGAACGATTGACACATAACAATCGTCTTTCCATCGCTTAATTTACGAACAGTTTGCTGCAAGCGCTGGACAGCGCTGAATAAAAGAACACGCCTCATATGCCGCGTTTCATTGCGTTCGGTCCACAAAGCACATAGAGGTTCCACGTGAATGACCAAGGTCAAAACCGACAATTGACATTTTTTATGCTATTTGCTCCAAACTCTAGATGGGGCTACTGGTAAAATTCTGATTTCTTACTTCATTTTTAAGCTTTATGGGAGAAAAACTTAACCAAAGACTCCAAAGATGTGACGTGTATTTATTTATGTTTTTGGTTAATCTCATTTTTCCGTCTGATTTTAGTGATTTTTTGTTGGCTTTGGCTTTTGGTTTCTGTTTATAGTTTCGTCTTAGTTATTTGCAAAATTGTGATGTTTTGCTTTTCTATTTGCTACTGTGTTTTGCAATAATTTTGGTGCTACCTGTGGGTGCTACGTTGAAAACTTCGAGAAAAACTTATTGATTCACCATGCATCTGCATCATAAAAAGACAAACGGGTATAACAACTAATTGATAATCAATTTATCACTGGACTAGATTCCGAAATCATTTTTCACATAAGAGAGTAATACACAAAGCAGTGGAGTAATACCACCATCTGTATTTGGAAGGAAAATACCTATTTATCATTGAATGAATAGTTAAAATGATTCACCTTTTAATACAATACCTATATTACATTTGTCCTCGGTTTAAAAGACATTTATAAAATATATTATTTTAGTGTTAATAAAATGTAATATCCTAGTCTCTACTTCACATTTAAATTATTGATAGGTACTTTAAAGATTAGAGAGTAAGTATTCGTTAAATATGTATTATTATTTGTATTTATTTTTATCTAATAATATTTATTTAAGTTATTAATAAACATATTTTAAGAATGTTCTATTTGATTATTTATTGATATATCTTATATTTATTTAATAATAATATGCAGAACCAACTCTCCACATCAGACCCCTGCTTATAACAAATTAATTCCTCAAATTTGGTATAATCGACCTAAATTATTTTGTAAAATAAAAGTTTCGAACTTACTAGTTCCATTCTTTATTTTATAAAATAATTTATGTGGACATCATTTAAAATTTAATTTAAAACTACTACCTACTCCTAAAAATTACAATTTGAATTTACCGCCATCTGTCAATTGTCATTTTAGTTCCAGCTCCAAACACAAGGTGGCGCTAATTTGGTTTAAAAGTTTAACATTGGCGTGGGGTCTCTAGAAGATACGTGCTTTGTGGTTCGGTCTGCCAAGTTCCTTTAACTACTTTAACACTTTTTACTCCAAACGACCCTTTTAGCCTTCGGTTTAGGGCTATATCAAGCTAGCGGGCACTCTGTGGCGGCACCATACAAGACCTGGTGGGTTTTTTGTAGCTTTTTTTGTTACGCTATTTGCGAATTTGTAGCTTTGCCCAGGTCCGAAAAAACAGCGGATCCGCTAGCTTGAATTTCCATAAATTACATAGTAGCGGCACAGATTCAGACCCAGCTGGTTTTTCGTAACTTTTTTGTAGCTTTTTTGTTACGATAGTCTCCCTTTTGTAGCTTGTACTGAACCTGAGAAAAGCGCGGATCCGCTAGCTTAGCGGATATTTGTAGCGGCACCAGCTCGGACCAGGCTCATTTTTTGTAACTTTTTTGTAGCTTTTTTGTTACGCCTGTCTCCATTTCGTTGCGAGGCCTGAACGTGAGTAATAATCGTTTCTCCATGAGCGTGAGAGAAAAGTGCGTTAATTTAAAATCAAGTTTCGGCATCTATTCTACAAGTAATATGTGCAACTCGATAGTGTGACTATCTGTTGATAGATGGCACCAGTATTGCATTTCACGAATTATGGCAATCTTCCATCCAATATATTTTTGAGAAATTTAGATATAATCTCAAAATCGGACATTTGTTTTTAAATGTTTTTTAGTGTTGTTTATGTATTTATACTTTTGTTGAATCAAGAATATTCTTACATCTTTTTTGAATGATTTTCTTAACCAATCGTTTTGCAGTATTTATGGACCAGTGTTTAATTCTGTCGGATCACAACTATACAGTGTGTTCCATCTCAGACGAGCCACCCAGTATATTTATCCCATAGTAATTGGAAAAATTTCCCGAAACACGTCGGATGATTTTCTTTGGGGGACATCTTTTGACGTATATTTGAGGCTTGAATCAGCAACCCCCTATGAGAGGGCGCTTCAACCCCTCAAAATGGAATAGGGAAGAATAAGGGTTGAGTGATACATCATATAAGGTCTTGAAAGCCTCTTTACAACGGTGTATGAAAAAAATCACATTCTTAAAAAAAATCAATTGTTTTATCACATCAAATGATCGAAGAAACGTGATAAACACCTTCTAAGAGCAAAAAATGAAGGCAAGATAAGAAAATGTTTTGATTTTTTTTTATTTATTAGTTCGAGAGAATTTATTATTGCATGGAAGACAATGGAAGACAAATTGAACATTTCATTTAAAAACGCAGTTTTGATTTTTTTGATTGTAAGCATGATAAAACAATTGATTTTTTTTAAGAATGTGATTTTTTTCATACAGCGTTGTAAAGAGGCTTTCAGGACCTTATACAAATGAAGTATCACCCAACCCCTCTTCCCTATTCAATTTTGAATAATATATACACGTCAAAAGATGTCCCCCAAAGAAAATCATCAGACGTGTTTCGGGAAATTTTTCCAATTACTATGGGATAAGAACTATACGGGGTGGCTCGTCTGAGATGGAACACCCTGTATATAGGTAATTGCTTGGTAGCTATTACCACCGGTGTGATGTTAGCAGTAAGTTTTTAGCAGTAAAAATAACCGAAAACGCCCGATCGGGAAAATAGTGGCGTCCGGCATACAAAAATTTTAATAATCTTGTCAATATGTATTTTACATTTTACATTAATATCGGACAAATAATTAATATACATACCGTTGAAAATGTCCGATTTTGATATTATATTATCTAAATTTCTCAAAAATATATTGGATGGAAGATGGCCATAATTCGTGAAATGCAATAATGATGCCATCTAGCAACAGATAGTCACACTATCGAGTTGCACATATTACTGTGATGTTTGTTTATTTTCAAACAACAGTTTATTTATTAATAATTTATTTAAACACTTATTTATTTTATAACACAATTATTCTAATTTATATATACTTCGAATGTCTTTAAACTGATCACTATTTATATTCACCACTGTCTATCTACTAATTACTATTTATCTTCACTGTTCATATAATACTGACTCTGATGGCTCATCCACCAATATTTATATACAAATTTCTAAAATTTGCTGGAGTCAAGAAGCTTCTCCACCAAACTAGAAATATTTCGAACAGTCTAGAAATATTATCTCGTCCTTTCTCGAACATCATCGAAATCACCTCCGCCATAGTCGTCCCATAGGTTTGGTCTTAAGGGGTTTAATTATGTATAATAATCGGACAAGTTGAGCCTTAAAGGCCAAATAAGACAGAGAGGAACTTGTAGGGTTAGAGCATGACTGAATAATGAAATGGCTCACATAACATTACTTTTAGAGGCCGAAACTTGATTTTAAATTAACACACTTTTCTCTCACGCTCATGGAGAAACGATTATTACTCACGTTCAGGCCTCGCAACGAAATCGAGACAGGCGTAACAAAAAAGCTACAAAAAATGAGCCGGGTCCGGGCTGGAGCCGCTACAAATATCCGCTAAGCTAGCGGATCCGCGCTTTTCTCAGGTTCAGTACAAGCTACAAAAGGGAGACTAGCGTAACAAAAAAGCTACAAAAAAGTTACGAAAAACCAGCTGGGTCTGAATCTGTGCCGCTACTATGCAATTTATAGAAATTCAAGCTAGCGGATCCGCTGTTTTTTCGGACCTGGGCTAAGCTACAAATTTGCAAATAGTGTAACAAAAAAGCTACAAAAAACCCGCCAGGTCTTGAATGGTGCCGCCACAGAGTGCCCGCTAGCTTGATATAGCTTCGGTTTAGTATGGTTTAGTCCAATTAGTGACAGTTTAACACGCTTAAGGGGCCTATTCAGTAACTCTGAACGACGTCGTTAATAGACGATAATCGTTCACAGACGACTTTTCTTATTCAGTAGACAACGATTGTCGTTGAAAATAGACAAATATGGTTGTAAAATTGTCGTTCATCAACGATAGCCACAGAGCTGTCGTTAATAATATGAAGTGTCGTTATAGTGAGTTTTCCATT